TCGAACGCTCTGTTAGCGCCGTAGTCAGCCATAACGCGCTAACCAGGGTGTCACCTTGAGTCAAATGGGGCTTGTATTAAATAATTCACGCCACATGTCGCAACTGGCGCATAAAGCTGAGAACAAGTGCTGCGGTAGTCGCAGGAATACATGAGGACAAGTACAATTAACGAAGGCTGGTGGCATTTGTTAAGGATAAGTAGTCGCCCAAAAAACATGGTGTTAAACGAGAAAGCAGCCAGTTTCACACTGTGACAAACGTGCGGTGGTGAAATTGTAAGCGTGCTGATGTACACACTAAAACATCATCTTCATGATTTTCAAGGCCATTTTATAATTGTGTTTGAGTAAATATGACATAGTTACAAGTGATATCCTGTTGAAATTCCGTAACTATGTCATATCCCGATATGACATAGTTACAAAGGTCCCGTTGCAGTCTTGTACTTTGGAACCCTCTTCTGTATATTTTACTCCCTGTAACATCCTTTTATGACATGATAATAAACTGATTGATTGATTGATTGATTGATTGATTGATTGATTGATATGAAGCGGATGAAAAACGAATTTTCGCAAGTTACAGAGAACCTACAACCTTTCATTGTCATTCTTTGAAAACGCGAAACCTCGCGCTTGTCCTGTCTTCCTGTCTGTTTTCGTGCGCTTTAACTGATAGTTATACCCTACAACCTTCAGATGAAGCATCCGATTTCCTACCAACTGATCTGACAGCCCCTTTCCTGCCCACAATATTGGGTATTTATGTGTTTATACCACTGGGAGTATGAGTCAGTACTTCTTGCAGCCATGAGGCCATGCATGCCAGCGAATCTCGTACACTATTTTGTTGCCAGCGACAACAACAACAAATCGAAAGTTGCTGCACCACGTTTCTCGACTCTGACCTGGTTCTCATTTTCGCCACCGCTTTGAGACAGTGTATGGTGGGCGCATTTGCCTAATAACCAGCTGCGCATGTCAACCCGCTTACAGAGAAGTCTTGCGCAACCCATGAATTGGTGGTTACGCATGCGCGCACGCTCGTTTGTCAACCAGTGTTGGCTGAAGTCTGGCAGCTGATGCGTGACGTCATTAACCCCGTGGTACTTCGCGTAGGGAAAAGAGAAAGAAACACTTAATGGCGAGTAATTATTAATAAAGGACGGGGATCCTGTAGCGAACGCCAGGGTGTGTGCGGTTCATTTCGTGACGGTGCCTTGCTCGGCTGCGTACAGCCAGCGAAAACACAGGCTTTCTCATTGACGTCTGTGGATTGCGAAACCAGAACTGCACACTGTAAGAGTTTTATGTTTATAAATCATGAAGTTCTTCTACATTTTTGCACGTACGCGATGTTCTTTTGTTTTTTATGATTGAGGTGAAGGGCACACTGAATTATTCTCGTTACAGTGAGCTGTGTGTAAAAGCAATTAAACTTTGTAGGCGCAGTACCCCCAAAACTTCAGCAGCAGGCATAACTTCCCGCTAGCTTGCATATATTATCATCATCACTACAATTTTCCACTTGCTTCTAAGAAGCTCCGCCGCTTACGTGAAGGTCGCGAGACCGAATCATAGTCGCGGCGGCCCCATTTCGAGGAAGGAGCTGTGCTTGAGGCCTGTTTACATAGATATGTGTGCCCGCTAAATAGTGCCAGATGGTTAGAATTTCCCGAGCCTTCCCCACTTGTGACGTATGTCCAGCATCAAAAGCTTGTAAACGATTATCTGCTGCCACGTTTCTTGATGTAAAATGAGCATATGACAATGTTCTGCATGATGCCATCCTCAAAGCCATCGAGTCAGTGGGCCTAGGTGTACAACTGGGTTGTTAGACGCGCAGTTATTTACAAGGCTGGACCTTATTTGTGAACACTGCAGATGGTCCAACCTCCCAACACCCCACGTATTGCGTAGTTCCGCAAGGTGACGTCTTGAGTCAAACCCTCTTCAACCTCGTTCTCGTTGTTCTTGTGGAACGACTACACAGTGTGGTCAAGCTATCTATGTACGCTGACGACATTTGTTTCTGGGCATCTGGCGTGACAAGACCTCAGGTACGCGCAAGACTTCAGAAAGCTGCGACGTTGGTATCACTGTACCTCAATGAGCAGGGTCTGAAGATTTTGCCAGCACAATGCACATTGATTGCATATAGTCGAAAACCATTGAGACCAAACGCTACATCTATCGACGGCCAAGACAAACCACATGTCAAGACTCACAGATTTTTGGGCGTATTCACTGGTAGAAACCTCTGCTGGGGCCCACATGGGGCCCACTTGAAGAAGAGGCTGACAGACGCTGCTAACGTTTTCAATTATCTTGAAGGAAAAACCTGGGGAACTTCAGTACATGCAATAATGCAATTGCACAAAACGCTTTTTCTCGGCTATTTGCTATGCAGTTTGCCTGCGTTGACCAATACCGGCAGAACCAGCATTCGCACTCTCGAAAGCATCCAGTCTATGGCTCTGCGAGTTTGTGTGGAGCTACCGTGATGTTCGTCAACAGCTGAGACAATTGCGATTGCAAATGGCTACCCGCTCAAGACTCATATCATAATGGAAGTGCTCCGAGCACACGTCAGGTATCTTACTCGTGCCCCTGCCCATTATCTAGCTTCACTGCCAGAAGACCGACCTCGTGCATCATTTTGCAAGACAGTCTTGACATACCATACACGCATACCCACGGGATATACAACTGCGTCCAGACTTGCAACTCCCCTATGGGGTATGGCTCATCTACATGTTGAACTTATGATTCCAGGCATACGGTCGAAAGCCCTGCTCTCGTCTCCAGCGCCAGAGCAGCTTTCTCAACTCTTGTTGTATGTGAAGTACAGTGAGCATAACCATCTATGTACTGACGCATCTACTAAAGTAAATTGACCTTTTCTCCAACAGCGACCACGACGAAAATTTGGTTGTCTCAGCAGACGTCATCGACAGCTTCAGACCTTGCTTTTTCACGTTGCGCAAGTAGTCATTAAACAACAAGAAACCTAGAAATAGGGCGTGTTCACGGACTCCAAGGCAGCACTAGAGTGTTCGGTGTTCACCTTACGCCGGGGACCTCATGAACTACTAGTGCTGTAAATTAGAAAGCTGCTTCACCGCCTCTTCAACGAAGGACACGAAATCATGTTTCAGTGGCTTACAAGTCACTGCGGTACATTGGGCAACGAACATGCCGATGCAGCTGCTCGATCAGTATACGGAGATGGTGAAAAAGAATCTATTCCTTTTTCAGGGACTAATGCTGCAATAGAAATCTTAAAATCGCTAATGAAGAAGTAAAATCCCTCTGGAACACTAAGTGCTTACGGCTCACGCGACTGCAAAGGCTGGACACGTCTCGTCGACTTCGGCCTCCATCCGGACTCTCACGACTTGAGACAACGATGTTTTGCTGACTGTGGCTTTGTGTCGCTTTCAACAGAGTTTTCACGTTCCGAATCGCCATGAAAGACAGCGCTGTTTGCGATCATTGTGGCAGCGGTGAAACGATAGAGCACGTTCTCTGTCACTGCCCTCGTTACAGCGTGCAAAGACGGCAGCTAGCTGCTGCGTTAGCTCGCCTAGAGGACAGACATTTCTCAGAACAGTCAATGCTTGAAAGGCAACATAATCTGTCTTCGCATAGAAAATCTGTGAAGGCCTTTTTGAACATTTTGCGTGGTAGTGACCTATTGAATAGCCTATAGTACAACAGCTCACTTTTTTTCTTTTCGCACATCTATTTCGTCCTTCACTTTCTTTACCATCTTTATTCTCCATTCTCTCTTCCCTTATTGCAGGGTAGCAAACCAGATGCTCCAATTTCTGGTTAACCTACCTGCCTTTCCCCTATTTTGTTCTCTCTCTCCTCTCTTAACCCTAACGTGGCTTTTGATGTAAAACCCGGACAGTGACGCTTATTAATTTAATTCTTCCTTTTATGCTACTCTTTATTGAAATAAAAAACAGGAAAAAGCAACGGAGAAATTTTAACCATTTAGGTTAACGTTAACGATAACGTTAAGAATGCAAACATTATGAAACATTTTGAGGTGATACAAGGATACGACGCTGCCAGCTAGACCGTCAATTTTTTTTAATTCTCAATCAATCTGATAATCATTTTTGCAATTATGAGTCATCTGCATTCCAGCGCTCTCCTGATGCTTCTTGTATTTATCACAGTCTTCTTGATTGCCCACTACTTTACTGCCGATAATCACTGCTGGTAATTAGGCTTAACTATTCTCTTCCCGTTAGTTATCAATATTATGAAGGTCGTCTGGCAACAGCTGTTATGTTTTTGCATTCTTTTAATAAGCCACGTATCCGCGTTTTTTTTTTTCATTTCTTCTACCCACAGTACCGAGATTCTTATACTGGTAGCTTTACGCTAGCTTGCGGCAATTATACTTTTTTTCTTATTTCGCGCACTTTAACCTGGGGGAAATTTAAACAGGGATAATCTGCCAGTGACGCGGCAATATTCTAACAAGAAAGAGTCTTCTGGAGTCTCCTAAACAGATCGGTTTTCTAAGCATAGAAGAAATAATGAGAAGTTGCTAACAAACGTTATAAATTTTATACTGAAATCTTTTTGTTAGAGTTACCTTTTAAAATGTTAGCTCAGCAATCATGGCCAGTCACTAGGCTTATCAAATTGGCAGATATTTTAGCGTAGATGAAATATTCAGACGCTTCATAACGATTTATACAGCTTTTTCAATATATACTTCTCACTAAATGTTGTAATTCAGACATATGTTTGAGAAATATTTGTTGATTCGCCAGGTCGCCTTATGGGCAAGATTATACCGACGGGCGGCGCATGACTCGGAACAATGCTCGGACAGCGCATGTTTGTTTTTGTAATGCCAGGCTCAAGTTCTCTGCAGCACCCTATATGTAATCAAAATATTGACTAAATGAATGATCGATCAGCGGTATTTGTGAAGAAGATGCATATACGCTCCCTATTTTTTTGCGCATGCGCAGTGGATACCGACAGGTGCCATCCGACGCAGCCGTTCCGGTGTCCAGCATCGACGACCGTCTGCATCTCCATCCAATACCTGTGCGACGGGGCACCCGACTGTCCTGACGGTTACGACGAAGACCCCAGGCTCTGCACTGCAGGTGGGTCTACCTTACATTCCAAACTGTTTCACGCGGAACTTTTTTATTATATGTAAAAGAATTAAGAGGGCTTATTCGTACAAGCAACAAATGTATCGTACTCGTCAGGTATGATGACGCATATACGAATGAAGAAAATTGGAAATTTAAGGGCTCATTTTTCTGTCAAAGTGACGATGAGAATTAGCAGGCAATGATTAAAAGAAAGTTATGGAGATATTAAGTTTAAAATCTCTAAACAGAGCTCTTTGGGGTATAGCAAACAAATAAATAAAAAGAAATTATTAGTAACTATAACTGAATTGAGAAGAAAAAAGTGAGCGAGATCACTCGTCAGGACCAGCAACCAAACTTGCGACCTTTGAGTTCTAGGGTCACAAGTTCCGTCTTTGGCTCTGGCAAGTTCTCGCGCAGAGGGGGAAGCCCCTCACCATACAAATATTTTCTATGCTGCAAAGAAGCGAGGAGTGTGATACACATCTACCCGGCATTATGTGCGCTCTGTTGGTGTTATAACTGACGACGATGAAAGAGAGTGGCTGAGCACGTTGTAATGGCTGGGACGTTTTAAACGATCAACTAGTTGTGTGATTAGCATCGTGCGACGCCTGTTTGTTATTACACTGTTCTACCTTTCTATACTAACACCTGCTAACGTGATGCCTCTACCGATATGACCGCGGGGTTTTTTTTGCGATAAGATTCATGCCCTGGCATGGCTATGTGGTAGAATATTCGAATGCGACGCTGACTGTCCAGGGCGAATTCAGCTCCATACGGGATATCTTTTGTCTTCTTTCAAGCGATAGTGGATATGGCCAATGGCAGTGGCGGAGGAAAACTACATCACAAAATCAGCGGTTCTTAGAACCTCGCAACAGCTTTTACTATAAAAAAAGTAAATAAAATAAACACAGTGCCTCAGAAGCAAAGCTTGAAGCTTTAGAATTCCCCCGAGCAACACTTACACAGAGTATCTATCCTATTTATACACAATCTGGTGTTTGGAACCCTAAATATTCCAGAGTGGGCTGCCGACAGGCTTAACCAAATGAGTCGGTGGCGTCTTCCTCCGGCACGCGCGGTACCACCGGTTTCCTCGCGACAGAGTTAGCGAGAAAAACGGGTTATATACGCTTTCTCATTGCCTCGCTCGACGTGTCACTTGCCTTACTTAGAAAATCCGGTGTCCCGCATCACCGAGCAGGTTGCCAATGGCGTGCAAAGTGGGAGTCTCTCTAACAGCTGCTAATCATATTATCATCAGTGATGACACGTCCGCAATTTCGTTGCTGGCGATGGTTTACCATTTTATCTCGTTTGTCTTTGCTTGCCCCCAACAGAGTCAAATGAAATTTATGAGGGAGCAAGACGCGACACAACTGAAGGAATGAAATCTGTTTCTATTAGGACTAGAGAAATCAATACAACCTCAAGAAATATAATGCTATACGACGTAAACCTAGCTGAATTGGATTCAATTTTTTGTAACTCAATCGAACCCTGGTTTAAGGAAACGCGGCTGCTCTAGGGACCCAACCGAATATTATGCTGTCAGTTCCCAAAACGCCAAGCGAGTTTCTGGGGCTCAGCAAGTCTAAGAGATGTCTCTTGTTGCCTGCCCAGATAGCTCGCGCACCAGCGATCGCACGCTTCGGGCAATTCAGCCCTCCACCTAACCCCTCTAGTCACTTCACGCTGCTTACGAAACACGTGCTTCTTCTATGCTTTCTATCGATGACAGGCCTCGAATGTCGGGTATAGTTATCGCGGGCGCACTCCGTGCGACGCAGACTGCCAGTTCGTTTCATCTCTGCTTCAGGCATGTTCATCCCCACTGCTCGAAATCTTTCACTCTAGCGCATATAGCATACGATGCGTGAGGTGAAGCTAATAATAAGGACTTATGCTGAAATTTATGACAATGGTGACACAAACGCCAAGGGTCCTGACAAAACTCGTTGAGAGAAAGCAAGCAATCGGTATCACAACGAAAAGACACTGGTTCAACACAAATCAAACTTCACTTGACAATTCACCACCATAACTCATCACCGCCACCAGCCTCATCAACAGGCTATTTTGTCTCAACTGCTGGGCGAACAGCTTTCCTAACGATCTTCAAAAAGCGATGCCTCACGGAGGCTTTTTCCATCTTATGAATGAAGCTTTAGTTGTAAATTTATTCACTCGGCCCAATACGGCAGTCCTCAGCTGTCTCTACCATGCCTTGGCAATAATTCTATTGCACTAACTGTTCCGATATTAACTTGACTTGGGTAAGCCAATTCTTGCTCGGAGCGATGCAGCATGAATTTAGCGACTGTCCAAGTTTTACTGCGTTTCCCTTACCTTCTCACCATTTGAAGTTAGGTGTAACCGTAGAAAGTTTAGTTACAATTAATAATTACAATCGTTGCTCTTTCTTTCATCGCTATTGTTAGAAGAATCGTTCGAGAATGCCACCACGTTATTAAACTTGTTGTTTTTAGTCCTGTTTTCCCAGGATTGCTTTCGAGCATAATGCTTTTCACCTGCATGGTCTATGTTTTCATACACGCCCACACCGAAAATAGCCTCCCGCATCACTGACATCTCACAGGGCTACTCTATAGGATCCTCCCTAACGCATGCACTTGCACTTAAGTATGCTCTGGTTGTCGGGAGCTTATTCCACACTTTTCTTCGCCCAGTAAAAGTGGATATTATTGCACGCTGCCTCAGAACACTGTTCGGCTTGGCTTGGCTTTCGCTTGGTCTAGATATGTGGCTAACGTTACATGGGAAGTGCTTTCCTTTTCGGCCGAACAAGGAAGGTACCGAGAACAAGATAATGAAAAAGCCTTCGGGGACGATATTATAAGCACCGCACTCGAGTGGCTCGGCTTGCACGGCTGGTTGTGTTGCCTCGGTAGAAACTACTTTGCGAAGTAAGCGAGGATTACCAAGGCGTCTCCAGACGCTTCCACTTAAGGTGAATCGATGAAACGCAGGTGTGTATGTGTGTAGCCTGCCCGGGCGTCCTCTTAGTGGTGTGGCATGGAACACGATCGCGCTGAGCAGACACCTCTTTCGCATCTGTACTTGTTAGTGCTTAGGGTTAGCGTTTCTTGCGTACTTCGCAGCAGCTTTCTTTCGTGGCTCGCGTAGCGTGCTTTGGCACCATATTTAAGGCTGCAAGCGTACACATTGCACACAACATTCACTCGGTGCTCACTCTCTCCTCTTTGGATATATATAATATATATATATATATAGATATATATATATTATATATATATATATTATAATATATATCTATATATATAGTAATGAGATCATACCAACAATAATGCCAAGGAATGCAATTGTCTGTGATTATTAACTGTTAGATCTCATTAATATTGTGTCAAAACACGAAAAACGAGCCCTTAGGTATACACTTCTTCCTCTCGCTACATAATATGTATATATAGATATAATATATATATGATAGTATATATATAGGATATATATAGTATTATATAATAATATATGAAGAAGAAAGTGTCTTTGAATCCAGTGGAAAAATACCAAAAAGTGGACAACGCCCAAAAGGCAAAGTTTTGTATTTTTCCTATGTTTAAGCCGGGGGCCTGCAGTTAATCAGAAAAACACAATACAAAAATGGCGCTTTTCTTAAGTAGGCATAGTATCAAGGGCCCCTGACACGTGAACTATCACTATCATACACTATCTACTGCGACGTGGCGAGTAATTAAAAGCGGGGAATGTCAAAGCAATGCCAAAGAAAGATTATGAGAATGCATGAACGGTGTTTACATCAAGTACATCACATGGTTAGCAGTTTGAAAAGTACAGTAATATCTACAAACAAAACTATCAAACCCATACAGCAAGTCACACGCACAAAAAAAAAAAAAAAAGTACAGCAGAAAACGTTCAAATGGAACAAGATGCGTAACTAAGAATTTCATGGGGCACAAACAGAATTCATAACACAAAGTCAAGAATTCACTGCACCGAAAAGGTGTAGTAAAAATCTGCGTGTACAGTGATTATGAACAGACTGTGATGAAACTAGAACTTCGTTCTGCGCCGAAAGAAACGTCAGTTTGCCTGGATCTTCATTTATACCGGATAAGATCGCGTTGAACTTGTGTATTAGAAATGACTCGCGCAGTTCCCTATCATAGTGTGAATGGAAACCTGATTCCAGTATAGTAGCTTTTAGTTTATTGAATGAGTGACCAGGAATGTTAACGTGCTTAGACAAAGGTAGATTGGGTAGGCTTGTGGCATGTGACTTATGGTTATTAAATCGCAGTCTAAAAAGCGTTTCATTATGTCCGATGTATTGGAGTTTGCACACAGAACATTCAAGCATGTACACAATGTTGCATATGTCACAGTCGAAATCCCCTTTAATTTTTGAATGAAAGTATGATGCTGTACTCTCAACCAAAGTGGTCGTCGTCATATGGTTACAAACTTTGCAACGGGGTTTGTTGCATGGTTGACAACCAGAAAAAGTGGTGGCGGCAATCCTTGATGAGGTTAGTATGTCACGTAAGTTCTTCGATCTGCGATATACCACACGTGGGGGATCAGGAAAGATTTTTTTTTAAAGTGATCACTCTGTATTAGTATGTTGTGATGCTTCTGAACAATGCTGTTGATATGGTGCTGATGCGGAGTGGTGTTATAACCAGGCTCGTGCTCGAGGGTGCGGCCTGCTTCTTTTGAATAAAAAGTTCCTTACGGTCAATGTCCTCAGCCCGTTTAATAGCATCGTTATTGATTTGTGGCGGATATTTTTGTTTTTGTAGGGCCTCCCGAAGTTTGGTGCAGTTGTCTGTAAAATCTTAATTGTTTGAATATATTTTCTTAAAACGCAGTGCTTGACCATACGGGATTGCCGTTTTGCAGTGCTTTGGATGTGAACTATCGAAATGTAGGTATGACTGCCTATCCGTAGGTTTTCTAAAGAGTTTAGTCATCGCTTTGTTAGAAAGTATAGC